CTCCCGACAAGCCCCTCTCCACGCAGCGGGCGCGGCCGACCGATCCCCCTTCCGCGACGAGCCCCACCCGCGACGAGCCCTCCGAGCCTCGACGGCTCTCCTCCGGCGGCCTCCCCACGCCGAGGGGGCGAGGCGAGGGGGTCGCCACGGAGGGGGCCGATTTCGATCGGGCGCCGCTTGTGTCGATAGTGCCTACATGGGGCCCTGAAGGGTGGGGCCCTAAGGACAGGAAGGGATCCAAGGGTGGATTTGCGTTGTCTGAGGCACCTCGCCCGTAGGACCCCGTCTTCCAGGACCCCATCCTTGAACCACGGATTATACTGCAGGGGTGATAAATGAAGGGAAGGAACGGTGCACTTCTCGGGCCCCAAAGGCCCCCTTTGGGGCCCTGCTCCTTTTCTGCAGCCCTCCCTGCCCCCCCATTATCAGCGGTGGACAAACCTCCCATTAGCAAACCTCCCTTTAGTGAAAACGGCCTGGGACCGAAACCGACGGACCTGGGCCCGCAGAAATGGCGGCCGCAACGCCCTCTCGCGAACCGACAACGGCCAATTCCTTAATCGACGTGGCATGGTAGGAGGTCTGTCAACCTCCGATCCCTTTCTGCAGCCCTCGCTGCCCCCCCCATGACGCGGCGCCTAATTTGATAGGGGTCGGCCAGGCCGCCCCTGATCCCAGCGCCTCCGGGGAGGCCCCGCGTCCAAATGGCGGAGGGGGCTTCTGCGCCCAGCGACCCGCCGGGCACCGATCCTGGCCAGGCCGGTCCTGCGCTCGGGGTTCCTGGAGATGCCCCCCTCGGCCTGACCAGGAAAGCGTCTGCATACTCCAGCCCTGGGCCCAAGACTGGCAATCCGGCAGGAGTGCGAAACGAGGAGGCAGGGAGGGGGAAGAAGGAGAGGAAGAGAAAGGGAGGAGAAGGAGGAGGAGGAGGATCTGACGCCCATAAAGGAGGAAGAAAAAGAGAGGTAAGAGAGCCAAGAACGCTCTCGGTCCTCGGGTGCGCGCCCAGCGGATAGAAGCTTCTTGTCACCCTGGCAGGGAGCGTAATCCTGCCAGGGGCCAACGAAAGGGCGCAATTGAAGGAGGAGGAGGAGGAGCAGCAGACCTCAATGTCGCCTTAGCGGACTGGTATCCCTCATCCGCCCCGCCGCCTCCTTGATGCCTCCTCATCATCCTCCTCAGCCTTCTCTCCCTCCTGCGACGTGCTCACACATCCCTCGGCCGCATCACCATCATCATCATCATCATCATCATCATCATCATCATCATCATCATCATCATCATCATCATCATCATCATCATCATAATCATAATGATCATGATAGCATCATCATCATCATCATCATCATCATCGGAATCGTCATTGTCATCATCATCATCATCATCATCATCATCATCATCATCATCATCGTCATCATCGTCATCGTCATCTTCATCATCATCATCATCACCATCATCATCATCATCATCATCGTCATCATCATCATCATCATCATCATCATCATCATCATCATCATCGTCATCGTCATCGTCATCGTCATCGTCATCATCACAATCGTCCTCATCATCATAATCATCATCATAAGCAGCATCAGCATCATCATCAGCATCACCATCATCATCATCAATATCATCATCTTCACCATTCATCATCATCATCACCGTCTCATCATCGTCAGCAGAATCCTCATCATCGCCATCATCATCCTCATCATCATCATCCTCATCATCATCATTATCATCATCCTCATCTGCCTCACCCTCGTCACCCTCATCATCATACCAAATGTCGTCATCGCCATCGTGTTCGTAATCGGTGCTGCCATCTTCACATCATAACCAGAACCATCTTTACTGTCGTCCTGGGCGGCGTGGGCGGCAGAAAAATTACCGTCATAAACATGACCATAACGATGATAACACTCATCATGAGAAGCATGATCAACGTCATCATTCCCCTCGTCATCCTCCTTCTCCTCTTCCTCCACCACATCATCATCAGCAGCAGCATCGTCGTAATCACCATCAAGGCAAATATCATAATCATCATCATCATCATCATCATCATCATCATCATCATCATCATCCTCATCCTCATCCTCATCCTCATCCTCATCCTCATCAGCATCATCATCAGCACCATCAGGTCAACACCACAACCACAAGCGTAATCGCCACCATCATCAGCATCAGTATCAGCAGCAGCTGCATCCTCAATAGCGTCATCATCTGCAGCAGCAGCATCCACATCAACATCAGCATCATCATCATCATCATCATCATCATCATCATCATCATCATGATCATCATCATCATGCTCGTCTCCATCATCATCAGCAGCATCCCATCCTAAACATTATCATCAGTACCATCTTCATCATCAACATCCTCATCCTCATCCTCATCATCATCATCATCATCATCATCACGAGCATCATCATGAGCATCAACATCGTGATCATTAGCAGCAGCAGCATATCATCATAATCAGCATTACGAGAATCATCAGCATCGTCATCCGCAGCAGCAGCATCCGCATCATCATCCGAAGCATGATCATCTCCTGGACACCACAACCACCATCGAAATCTGCAGCAGCTTCATCATCATCACCATCACCATCAACATCATCATCAGCATCAGCAGTAGCAGCATCCTTATCAGTATCATCAACATCATGAGCATCATCAACATCATCAGCATCATCATCAGCATGACCATCATCACCAGCATCAGCATCATCGGCATCAATTCAACAATCGCCATCATCATCGTCTCAACACTACAACCACCATCAGCATCGCCACCAGCATCATCATTAACATTATCATCACCAGCATCCTCAACATGATCCTCAACAGCATCATCAGCAGCATCATCATGATCATCATCAGCATCATCATAATCGCCATTACCACCACAATCATACATCATCATCCTCGTCATCATCCTCCATCAGCATCATCGTAGGCAACAACAGCACCACCACCACCACGACCATTCACCATCACCGTCCCCACCATAATCATCATCATCATCATCATCAGCATTGCAGGCGCCAAAATCATCATCATCCTCATCCTCATTATCATCATCATCAGAATCAGCATCATCATCAGCATCATCATCATTACCATCATCATCAGCAGCATCATCGTCGTCGTCATCAGCATCATCATCGTCATCATCACCATCATAATCCTCATAACCCTCATCATCCTCATCATCGTGAGCATCATCGTCGTCATCGTCATTGCCGTCATCTCACTCCGACCCCATCCCACGACATGTCATCACACATCTTAGGTCGGGCGAGCGGGCCCAGACGACTGGGTCGAGCGGGCGGGTCGCTGAAGTGCCAGTGTTGCATGGATCGCCAGAAAATCAAGAACACTAGCGCGATCCCTACGTGATTCGGGAGGATGTCGAATTCGAGAGCCTGAGTCCAGAGTGCCGAGGGCGCGGGGTCTAAATAAATTGCCAGCAACTCCCACGCGAGAGCGCGAAACTTGGAGAAAGTGTGAGGATGTCCCGCAAGAGAGCGCGGGAGCTGTGTTGAGTTCTCATGCCTAAAGAAGAAATATTGTTGATCCCCCCTGCCTGGTGATCATTGTTTTCTCAATCGGAATGCTCGCCCTGGGGCTCGCACCTGGTATCTTACAAAGCAAGATGTGGGATCCCCGAACTGCGTTTTTGGGCCCCGAACTACCACAACAAAGGCTCCCGCCTGATACTTCCTCTAGAAATCGCGCTCTGGAGCGGGAGTTCCTCACAATGTATAAAGGAATCGTGCTCTTGCGTTGGACTTCCTTACAAATCATTCAAACGCCGCGTCCTCGACGCTCAGGAATCGCGCTCTCGCTGTGGTTTTTCTCGCGGTTCATTTGGGAATCGCGCTGTCGCTCGAGACCCCCTCGCGATTCATGCAATATTCACGCTTTAGCAACCCGCCTGCTCGACCTGGCCGCCTGGGCCCGCCTTCCAGACCCGCCCGTTAGGGTCTACCCGCCCGATCAGCCCGTCTGGTTCTGCCACGTGTTTTCTGCTCCTAGCCCCTCTTCTGCGAATCCCGTGCTCCATCCTTCTCCCTCCCCCTTCCATCCGTCCTCTCTTCCCCTGTTTTAGCATCTGCACCAACTACACGCGGCAAAGAAGGAAGATATACCCCCGGGGGGCAAGATCGAAGACGAAGAGGGCGGGCACCGAGGGATTAGGAAGTACAGGTTTAACGGCACGCGAGCAGGCAAGAGCAAACAATATTAAAATCATTGCTGCTGATGCTGTTCTTGTAAACCGGGGGCCAGGGGCCCAGTCTGAGGCGCAATACGTTCCCTTGAAAAAACTCTGGGTACGAGCCCTGGGAGGGGCAATCAATAACCCTTGTCTAAAGTGAGAACTTGCCAATAGAAACCTCCTTGATGGGGTCCGAGTAGATCCAGTCGGAGGATCGCGCCGCATCGCCAATGCATCGCCGATGCATCGGCGATGCATCGGCGACGTCGGCGGTGCATCGGCTACGCCAGCACGGACAACATCGGGCTCCACATCGAGCCGCATCGCCGAAGCATCGACGATTCGGCGCGATCCTCCGACCCCATCGACTCGAACCCCGGCCTAAGAAGAACTGAACAACAAAACAAGCAAGCATAAACAAATTACACCAGAGAAAAACCCAATCAGTGGATGGTTTTCGCTGAGGAGATCGACTGGGAACCCCAGAACCCGTGAACCGAGAACCCCGGAGCCCAGCCTGCTACCAAAATCGGCGGGAAACTTTCGCCAAATCTTTCAACTTCCGCCAGGACCCCTTCAGTGCAAGCATTGTTTGGGTAATGCACAAAATCACGATCGTTCTGAAAGGCTCCCCGCAAGACTTGTAAGGATTCGACAAAGCGTCGGGGCGGATCGGCAGGCGGAGAGGTTACCCGGTTCCTGGGTGCCCCTACGAGTCCACTGGCCCGTGGTGTGGCCAGCTGTGCCAGCGTTCTTCCCAATTCTTATTATTGGGGAACAAAAGGTGCGCCCAGTTTCCGCAGATACTGACCCGCAAGATCCCTGGGCCACTGCTCCTCTGCGCGGGCGGGGGGCGGGGGCAACCCGCGCCACGACCACGACGCCGCCCACGGCGAAGACAAAGAAGACGAGGCGCGCAGACGATCCCCGACGAAGCACCGAGGCACCCGAGCCGGTGGCCACGAGAGGGAGGGGCGGCGGCAGTGGCAGTGCCGAAACGCAGTGCTGACCAGTTCCCGCAGATGCTGGCCCGCCAGGTCCCCGGGCCACTGCTCCTCTGCGCGGGCGGGGTGGGGGGGGCCTCGGCGGGGCGAGCGCGCCGCGAGAGCTGGGAGCCTCGGCGCGCCGGCCGCGAGAGTTTTGAGCCGAGGCGGCCTCGGGAAGGCAGGGAGCTGCGGCGCAGCTCCTCCTCCTCCTCCTCCTCCTCCTCCTCCTCCTCCTCCTCCTCCTACTCCTCCTCCCCCTCTGCAAGATAACAGCTGCCCCCTCTCTTGCTCCTGCACTTTCCCGATCACCTCAACTCTCCTGGTCATCGTTTCTGGATGGGCTGGTGGGTAAACGCGCAGCGTCAATAAGTTGCACGAATTTCAAGGATTCGTATGGTTGAAGTCCCAGAAATGGTGTTCTGGCGCGACATAAGATTGTCAGGCCGCAACAGTCACGTTGATTCGCGACGCTGAAACCCCAGCAATTGTGTTTTGGCACGATTGAGGATTCTCACACTGCTGTCTTCCAATGAGGCACTTCCCGCAATGAAAATGCGTTCCTGTGAGGATTTATGAACAGGGAACTTGAAGGGAGGGTGTATCGCAACATCGTTGGTGCGCCTTGGGTCTACACTGGTCCTCCTCCTGCTCGTCCTGCTCCTGGTCATGCTCCTCCTCTCCTGCTCGTCCTCGTTCGTCATCCTCCTGCTCCTCCTCTCTGGTCCGAGGCCTGAAAATGCTAGCGCGGTCGGTGTAGCGCGACATCCGGAACTCCACCACGCGGCTGACCAGGAAGATGTCGTAGTCCAGACCTGACAACTGGCAAGGGATGTTTCCTCGCCCGCGGCATCCAGCGCCGGGCAGGTGCAAGAATTAAGTACATACATGAAGGGACCCAGAGACACACAGATAATTAAACACAAATCCCAGGATTCCCCAGAAGTTCCATATCTTCTCGATGTTCGTCTTCCCCTCCATCTCTTATAGTTTCATAATTTTCCTGGGGATCATCGATTACCTGTGCCTGTTGTGTTTTTCCCCATCTGAATAAAGCACGAAGCGGATGCCATCGTCCAGCGGGAGCAGCATCACAAAGGTGCGACAGGCGCGCTGCGCAGGGAGTCCTGCAAACACAATTCCCACCTCAGCCTTCCACTGCGGGGGGCAGTAAGGGCCTGCTCAAACACGACCCGACGCCCAGGAACCGAAGCAGCAGCGTGCGCGACCAGCGGCTTCTGGCATGGCATCTGTGCACTCGATCTCTAGCAGCGATCAGAGATCTGAGAGCTCCTGAGGCCTTCACCGAAGAGCATAGCCTCCTCTCTGCCCCCATCCGGCGCGAGGTCGATTTTTGCTTCGGGAGACCGCTCTTCGCAAGAAGAGGGATGTGGAGGAGGCAAAACAGAAGGAGAAACGAACAACTTGTCATTTATCTGCAGCACCTTGGGTGCAAGTTGCGGCAAAACTACGGTAGGTTCGTGCGGCGTCGGCGCGCTCAAAGGCTTTTGACACCTCGTCCATCGTTCAACCTTGAACCGATCGCGGCCCCGATCGTTCAAGGTTGAATCCCATCGGGTCCTGTGGCAGTACTGTGTCCCTCGGTGCTTCCGCGTCACTCTATCGTGCGGAATTCGACCTCGAACGCTTTCGCCAGCATCGCCAGCGCGTCATCGCCGCAGGAACCTACCGCACAACAGGGCTGCTGCTGAGCATACAGGCACAAAGGCGGTAGGAGCGGCTGGAGGGAAGGGGGAGAGGGCCGCGGACGACCCGAGCGCCCGCGAGATCGAGGGGAAGGATAGGGTAGGATAGCAGAGGGCAGGGTCGAGAATCCGCTTTCGCAGCTGCTGTTCCTGGCGCCTCCTGGCGCTGGGAGGCGCCCATGCATCGAGGAAAGGGACCGGCGGCGGGGCGGAAACCGGCCGCCTGCAGCAGATTTCGTCGCCCGGCCCCTTCCCCTCGGGGATCGAATGACCCGGGTCAATCCAGACCTGGGTCAGTCGGGCGTTGCAGGACCCTGCAAGATCCAGCAGGATCCTGCCCCCAAAATCCGGGTCAATGCGCCCCTGGCGCCGCAGGATCCTGCAAGGTGCGGCGCTCTGGCCGACCCCTGCTTGCGTCACCCCGTCTCTTTCGTCCAGCCCGGCGGGAGCTCTGCGCAGCTTCCCCGGGGCAGACGGGGCCCTGTGGCCGCCCGGCGGGGCGGCTCTCCCGGCCGAGGCCTCCATAAATAGACATAAATGACAGGATTGCCAGTATTTTCCCACATTTTCTGGGCTTCTGTCTTCCCCCCCACTTGCCATATTTTCCTACATTTTCCTGAGAATCGACGATTCCTTGTGTCTGCGTGTTTTTCCCCCTCCTGACTCTAGTGCTCGCGGGCCAGGCCGCGCCGCGGCCCGCGAGGCAGCGGGGGCCTCTGCGAGCAGAAGGGCCCGGGCGAAGGGCCGCCTCGCTTCTGAGAGGCGGTGGGGGACTGCCTACCGGACCACCCCAACCCAACCCGAAGACCCGAATTGGAACCGAATTTCGGGTCGGAAGGGGTACGGGTTCCATGTGAATTCCATGTGTTTTCCTCCATGTTCCCCGACCCCCCCCCACCACTGGAAATGGAGACAAATTTGGGCCTTCGGGTTGGGTTGGGTGGTTTGGTAGGTGGTGAGTGGGGGGGGGGGCGCGAGCTCCCGGCGGCAGAGCTCGGCCGGCCGGACCCGCGGCCCGCCTAGAGGAGGAGCTGAAAGGGGGGTTGACGCTACAGCTGTGCAGCTGCAGTCGGGCCCACGGAACACGGCAGAGGCCAGGAGGGGGGCGACGACGACGACGAGCAGAAGGAAGAAGAAGCAGAAGAAGAAGAAGAAGAGGGGTAAGTGGAGGAGGCGGGGGGAAGAGGAGGAGGAGCAGGTGGAAAAGGGAGTGGAATCGAATGGACCAATCCCGAAGCAATGAAACGTCACCTGTACTACAGGCCAGGGCTGGTGCTCGGCGTGGTCAGGGTCAATATGTGGGCCAACCGCCCTCGTAGATACGACTGATATATGGCTGACGGACAGGTGCGGGGGAGGCTAAACACTCGGACCCGAATGCCCGAAACTGAACACTCCCGTGTGTGTGTGTGTGCGTGTTTGTTTTACAACACACACACACACACACACACACACACACTGCATAACCACAGCTGTAGATCGGTGTAAAATAACATGCTGTGACAAGGATGCGTGACACCGACCCCTATATGTATAGATAGACCCCTCGACAACCTACCTCACGAAACTCGAACTGTGCTGGGGAGCGAGATCCAGACAGGGGCTGGATCTCCACTACTTAGCGAAAGCACACTTAGCGGCATTACGCTTGCAAACCCCTTCAAACAAGTCCGTCGTCGGAGAGCTGGTGGCTCGACTGAAACAGGGCCACGGTACCAGGGGAGGGCGAAGGATGGCGTTTTTGTTTCCATTGGCTTCCTCTTCTCACCAGAGATCCCATCGATACTGGCACGCAATAACCTTATTATGGCAAGACTGGCTTTGCGCCTGGAAGAAGCAATGTTCGTTCTCATTGAGCATGGGAGCCGAGCTTCCTCAGCCGCCTGCCAATCGTCGGCTACCATGTTCCCCTGAATCATCTGGGGAGGGCGCGGCCCGTGGGCGGCTTGAGCGGCAGAGAGGTGAGACGGAACGTGGAGGACAATGCAGTCCAACGGATCTCTGCACTCCGTCAACTGTCCGAGCCCGTCCCACAAATCCTGAAGTTTGGCCTTGCCTCTGAAAGTACCTCCTCCAGTACCAACCTGAATCGACTGATTCAGTATCAATTACAAGAATGGTGTCACCACGACGGTGCCCGAAATGAACGAATTCACGCCATAAGCTCGCCTCTGGGAACCGTCTGAGTAGGCCCAACCAGGGGACCACGGACCGACGAAGAGACCCGGAAGGGACAGTACGAGCTAACGGCCACGACGCCGAGACCGACCATCCTGAGGCAAACGTCGCGGGAGTCCTTGCCCCTGCTAGCATCCCCAGAAAGAAAAGAGGGGCCTCTCGTAAGATCCCACACCTGGTGCGGAGGGACCCACATCGTCGGCCCCACCGGCTTCCCACTCGGGCTCCTTGGGCCAGGGGGGGGACTTCGGTCCAGCTCGCAAGCACAATGCCGCGCAACCACAAACAGGCCTCTCATACTCTCGCCGGGCCGGCGCTCGGGGGGCGGAGGGGTCGGAAGTGGAGTGTAGGCAAGGGAGCCCGCGCTGCGCTGGCATGTCCGCCCTCTGCGCGGGGCCGACCCTGGCGCATCCCCGCAGGTTGCGCAAAGAACCGCCTCCACTCTGCCAACCTCGTCAGCGATCTTTTGTAGACGAGCGCGCTCCACTACTCGCAGAGTAACTGCTCGCGAATGGCCTGGATCTCCCGCGGAGGATCCACGATAGACTACATCAAAGCGGACACGTGTTTTTGTTCTGACGTTTGCGAGTTGGCACTTTGCGAGTAGTGGAACGCGCTGGGTGATATTGACGAGGCCAAATTCCCCCGACTGCTCTGTGCAACGTAAACCATGTTGGCTAATAACCTCCCAGGACCGCATCGAGAGAGAGAGAGAGAGAGATTGTCGGTCCCTCCTTGGAGGCCCTCTCCACAGAAATGACTAGATACAGTGACCCACTGGCGAGTCCAAGTCGTGAGCTCGAGCACCTCCAGCAAGGACGATATGTCATCGCATCGCTCCAGCTGGTCGAAAATCGAAGCTTCGCGGTTGGGATCTCCCACCAGCCAAGTGACCCGCTCTGCGGGCGCGATTGGGCCCCGCTCCTGCTGCAACAAAAACTGTTAGTACTGCCGACAGCGGCCCACGAACGTGCCTGGAGAGAGCCCGAGGGGGCAAAATTTGGCGACCACCTTAGGCCAAGCCGGACAGATGATGGCTCGCAGTCCGGACTCCGACTGTCACGTGGCGAGCCAAAGCCGCTGGCAGCCTACAAAATCGCGTCCATGATGGAGGCTAGCTCGTCGAGAGCTTCAGGTGGCAACCCCCCCACATCCGAGGGTGAGGACCGGTGCACGCCTTGGCCAGCCCTGGGCCGCATGATGTGAGCGGCGTCCTTGACCATCTGACCCGAGAGGGGAGGAAGTAGGGGGCCACATGCGAACCCTACCCCTACCCCCTCAGAAATGGTGGGGGGGAGGGGGAGGGTTCGCATGTGGCCCCCTAGGAAGGGTTTGCACCTCGGATTCCCCACGGACCTCGTCGAGCCCTCTCCGAAGGCCGAAAGCGTCGAAAGAGGGCCCTGCACCCCACAACTGACACCAAGGCCGCGCCTTGTGGTCGATGCTGCTTTCCGAATGATGAAACACCTGACCTGCGAGTACCAGCTCCTCTGCCGGGATAGGGCTGGATTTGATGGCTCGATGTAGTGTGGGTAACGCTGACTCCGTGGCCATCCAAGTACGACATGCTTGCAGAGACGTATACAGCGCTCGACTTCTTGCCGTCCAAGTGGCTCGATTGGCGACCTTCGAAATCTTGTTAAGCTGGCTGGGAGAAACCTCAAAGGGCCGAGCCGCCATACCCAGCCAGGATTGCTGGTCCCAATGCCCAGCGATCACCGTTTGAACCCCTGCGGCATGGACCACGATGAGCCTGGAACATGCTGATTGGATCGCGCTGCGCTGTTTGATGGCATTATTATGTTCACGATGCTTCAGCGCCCTTTCCAAAACCGTCGTAACACGACTCCAACAAGCACAGCGGAGGTCCTGAAGGGTACAGCGCGCGACTTCTCTGGCAAGTGAACCTGATGGGCTAGAAACTGTGGTCCAGCCTCTCTTGGGGCCTGTGTCAAAATCCTGCTCGTGGTGATCCTTTATCGTGCGTTCGAGGATAGTGACCCAGGCAGCGTACATGCCACTGATGTTATCGATGTGGCACGCTCCAGGACTATATGCGAGGGACTCCCTGACCACTGGCCAGGAGCACGGCGATGAAACAAAACCAACATCTGAACGATGCTTGAGCCGAGATGAGGCAGAATGGAGAAAGTGGGGGTGAGAGCAGCAGCAACACTAAGACCTACGTGGGACGCCGAAGGGTCTTGGGGGTCTGGATTGCCAGGTTGTTGACCCTCCGTCTTGATGAGCTTATCGCTGCTGCTGGATCCTGAGACGGGATCTGAGGGGACCTCGTAGCTGGGAGGGTTGGTTTTTCAAAGCTGTCCTCCAGAACTCCGCCCTACAGCGCTGCCCATACGGACGGTCGTCCCATCACAAGCCCCGAAATTGATTACCCTCACCTGCCCACGGGTCCTCCTCTTCCTCATCATCAAAGAAACTCATAAATCTCGAAATCTTGAAATGGGTCTGGGCGAGGCCCCTCGTCAAACCCCTGCGAGCCTGTCCCGCCAAGGACGAAGTCCCTACAACTCTAAAAAAAAAAAAAAAAAAAAACACATGCCGCTTCAGTCTGGCAGGAGGAGGAGGAGGAGGAGGGATGAGGAGCGAGGAGGAAGAAGAGGAAGAAGAGGAAGAAGAGGAGGGGGAGGTGGAAGTGACGGCGCAGGCCACGTGGAAGAGGAGGAGGTGGAGGAGGAGGGGGTGGCGCATGGTGGAGGCAGGAGCAACAGGAGCAGGACGCGCTGGAAGATGACAAGCACGAGGGACGGCGCGCAGAAGGAGCAGGCCGCGGCGGGGCGAGGCCCGAGAGGCCATGCGCGGGCCGAGGCCCCCACCGAGAGAGATGGCGATGCCGGTCACGTGCGGGATGACCTGTGCGGGTGGCGGAGGCGAGAGGGATGCAGGAAGCGCGGTAAGAGGAGGGGGAGAAGGAGGAGGAGGAGGAGGAAGAGCAGGAGGAACAGGAGGAGGGGCAGCAAGGAGGAGGAGCAGGACGAGGAGGCTGAGCAGGAGAGGCCCATGGTCGGCGCGGACAGCCAGCAGGAGGACGCCAGATGGGCCCGCGGTCGGGCACCCTCCGCGCCCCCCTCCGGCGAGGGAGAGGCCTCCGCGCCCTCCACGCCCCCAGGGAGGGGGCGGCCCCCTCGGGACACCGCGGCCCGAGGCCGAGGCCAGCCCGACCGTGCCCCGGCCTGGCCGCCCTCGGGCGGCAGGGCTCGATCTTTGGGGCAGGAGGAGGGGAGGCGCCGCCAGAGCGAGGGCAAAGGGCCCGAGGCGGCGAGGGGGGAACGGAGCAGGAAGAGCACGGACAAGAGAGGGGGGGGGGGAGAAGGCACCGAACCAGAACAAGAAAGGGAGAACGAGGGAATGATGAGGCAGACGGAGAAAAGACGCAACGGCGACGACCGGGAACAGTGAACACGAGGGGGGCGATGAAGAACGGAGACGACGCTGAAGACAAAGACACAGAACGACGAGGAGGGGGGGGAGGGCGACGATGAGAAGGAGGGCAAGGAGCGGCGAGAACGGAACGGCGGACCCCCGCGCGGCGAGCGGCGTTGTCGATGACCGTGACCAGCGGCGGCCACGAAGCGATGCCGAACGCGAGCGATGGCTGCTTAGGGTTTGCAAGCCATGGGTCGCACAAGTCGCTGAGGCCTACCAAGGAGGTGGAAATACGAGCACCCACACCACACACACAAACACACTCACACTCTCACACACACACACACACACACACGCCAAACTTCGGTCGTGGCGCATGGAAAATAGCACGGTCGTGCTACAGCGGGCCGCGCAATAGCTGATTGCGCCTGAGCAAAAGTCTCGGGGAAGAGAATGTAATTCTGACGCGCGGTTGAATGTGTACTTTGGGGCTCGGCTCCAGAATGACCGGTAATCCCACAACTTTCGCATCATAGCGAAAACAAAATGATAAGCAGGCGGGAAAATAACCTCCGACGTACCAGGCGAATCAGACAACGTGCGTCCACTGACGAGCGCGCTCCTGTTCACAATACCATATCGCTTCAATCCGCGACCAGTTAGAGCGTCCAAAATGGCCTCCCCGACGGAGCCAAAATCCGCCGACCCCTTGGGGTCACGGTGTGTGAGATGCTTCCCCCTCCCCAAACCCCTCCCCCGGGGGCCTGGTCCGGCCGGTTTGGGGGGGGGGGGGGGGCAAATCCATCATCCACACATTTGGAGCCTCAGGAGACCCCAAGACGGACCAAAAAGGTTCAAAGGTTCCCGGAACGGTCCAGGAGAGCTACGAATCGACGAGAGATCGCCCCCAAACGCCGAAGATTGCCTCCACACGGCTCCATACGTCCCCAAGACGTTTGAAACAATATTACGAGGCGCCCCAAAGAGGCCCTCCAGAAGCAAAAATCGTCCCATTCCAGAGGGAAAACGTACATTCTTACCACATTCGCCCATTCGGCTTCCACGCGGCGCAAAACGGCCCAAGAAGCCTCCAAGATCGACCCTCGCCAGCACAAGAGGCTCCCAAAAAGGCTCCAAGACGGCGTCCGGGCGATCCACGAAGGCCCCAGAAACCATCGCAACGGCTTAGGAAAGCCGCGGGACGGTCCCAAGAGGGCTCCAAAACGGGCCAAGAGGGCCCCCAAAGGCTGTCC